AACTATCTGAGCTTAGCAACTCTCAACAAAGTGTGCAAACATTGTCCTTGTGGCTTATCCACCACAGAAAACACTCGAAGACTATTGTTAATGTATGGTTCAACGAGCTAAAGAAAGGTAAGAATTATGTGGTCGCTGAATTATGTTTTGATAGAGAAACAACCCCTCTTTTAGCATTTTTTGCTAATGCCCCATCCCACTTTAGCTTAGCCATATAGTGTCACAGCAGTCCCAGAATCTCAGTCTTGTATCTAATTAGAGAACTCGTGGGCAGATTTAAGACTTAGTGTGGTAGTAAATTGGGCATGTGTGTATTTAGGTGCAAAATTGAAATTTCCACGCAGTTGTTCAAACTAAAGTTGTGCAATTGTTGATCAAATTACTTTTGAAACCTATCCATGTACATCCTACTGCATCATTTTAGAGTTTAATTGTTGTCAAAATGTTGTTCTAGCCCAGGTATCTCGTAAATTGACCTTCCTTTACCTGGCCAATGATGTTATTCAAAACAGTAAGAAGAAAGGACCAGAGTTCACACAGGACTTTGCACCGGTCATTGTTGAAGCATTCAAACATGTGCACAGGTAATGTGTGTGTAATAAATCTACATTTCCTGAAGCTTTAATGTAATGTCATTTACACTACTTGTAGGGAAGGTGAAGACGGCTGTAAAAAACAATTGAATCGGGTGTTGTCCATTTGGCAGGAAAGAGCAGTTTATGAGAATAACCTGCTCAATCAGCTGGCTCAGATCTTAAGTAAGTTAAATAATTTGGATTATCTTTTTAATGGTTCTTGCATATAATTTGTGTTGTGTATGTATTTGACTCTTAAAAGCTGCACCTTCTTATATACTCATATCAGATGAAGAAAAGAAACCTAAGAAACGATCTTATGAGGACATCCACCCTGATGATGAGGACTTTGCTTCTCAGAGCTCACCAACTGAACCTCCACAGGTGAACACAATTTGTTTTGTCACTGCCACATACGGTAACTATGTCAGTTATAATCCAGTGCTTCAGATGAAATAAAAAGTAATTGTTCTTGCCTAAAATTGTCATAGCCAATCTATCACCTAGTTACTACTTTCTGATTCTTAGACAGCAGAGTTAATCCGAGCTCTACAGGAGTTGGAAAATGCAGCATCTAGTGATTCAGTTTTGCGGCAGCGAATCTCGTCTCTTCCTGCTGAAGTACAAGACACGTCACTGCTTCATAGGATCACAGGTACCACCATGCTTGATGGATGACGAGTCTTAATTTTAGCCACGAGTTTGAAGACGGATGTGCTGACACAATCTGTCTCATTATTGGCTAATGTCAGTAATATTATGCAAAATGGCCCTCACTGCTTTGTGCTTTGGTCTTTTAGACAAAGAGTCGGGGGAGAGACTCTCTCGTCTGGTTGAGGAGGCTTGCATGTTGCTAGCAGACTACAGTGGTCGTTTGGCAGCAGAGATCGATGATCGACGACAACTGACCCGCACACTAACAACTTTTCTTCAAAGTCAGAAAGATGGCCTTGCTCAGAATGAGCAAAAACTCGAAGTGCGTACATTTTTTGTTGCGTTTAAAAAAAATCACTATTATTAAATACATTTTATTCATGTTTTTAAAAATAGTTTCTCTTTTCCTCAAAGCAATATTCACTGATTTAATTCATTTTTTTTGCAAAAATTTGAATATGATTCACCACATAAACTACTTACAATTAATCTTGAACAAACTTAATGACATAATAAGCACCAAAATGGCTGCATTAGATAACATTTTATCTGAACAATGTAATATATATTTATTTAAAGCAGTATCACCTTTATTTTCTTGACATGTATTCTTTGAATGTACAAATAAAGTGACTTGTTCTGCTTGTAAAGTTTTTTTTGATTAATGATCTCCTGTAAGAAATTTTAATTTACTGTGTTAGTATACTGTCTTTTAAGCTATAAGCACTAATACTTAATGTTTTTCTTTGTAGGATTATAAACGCAAACTGGCACAAGTTACCCAGGTCCGGAAAGAGCTGCGCTCCCGTATCAATAAGCTTCCATGAGGGCTTTAAAACTCTGAACTGACTCCCAAAATTTACTGCTGTTAAAACATCTCAACCTATCACAGCTTATTCTAGTCATTTAATACATGTTCTTTTGGTTTTATCTGAATGATTTGAATTAGTGTAAATTAATATTTTCAACCATCATGTTACAGCCAAATGCACAAACAAAATTACAGTGAGATGGTCATTTTTCTAATGAGTTTATTCATCATTACACATTGCTGTACTGTATGTCCTCATAACCCCTCATTTCATCATCTGCAGTATTTTATGTTAAGGTCATGTTAAGCTGTTTGCTTTTTAGTGTGTGAAAACAATTGTCAATAATGTATTTCTGCATCATGTATGAAGATTGGACATATTTGATGTGTGGTGATGGCCACGAATGCTGTCATGTATAGGTTCTCTAAACATTGTAGCCTATGTAATTGTATGTACTACATAGTTTCTGCAGATGTGCTCACCTGTAAGTATGTTTGAATTTGACTGGTGAATTGTTTGTTAGATTGTTTTACATATAAACACAGTGAAAAAGGCTAATGTCTACAGCCATGTGCTTCATTTTAGCTCTGCCAGATGTAGGTGCCACCAGAAGCTTGAAAGAAATGTGCCTTTAAAGCTAAATTAAGTAAGTGATGGTTTTCATACGAAAACAGCGTATCAAAACCAAATTAAAACTCCAAGTTGCACTTTAATAAGATGCCAGAGAGAGAGAGAGAGAGAGAGAGAAAATCTTTGGTTGTTTTGTCCAAACGGGCTCCCGTAGTAGACACATACCAAAGTACGACGGTCGAGCAAGCGCAGATTTTGATTAGCTATAGCAGTGTAAGGACCTTAAACAACAAGGCGAGGCATTATTTAAAGGTACTATTAATTTGCCCGACAACCACTGTGTGGTCAATAAAATTAATCTCTGAATATAATTTACATTAACTTTGGTTCGCCCTACTCGTGTGGGATTATCGTTAAAATAGCTAGGTTAACAGTCAGCTTGTAGTGGCTTGCTCACCCTTGCAGGTTTCTTTCATAACCATTTAAGACGCTGTGCAAAGTTTAAGTAGTTGAAGATGGACTTCGAAACACCTTACGAAGAAAGCACTGACATTGAGTTTATTAATTGCGAGGTAAGTGCGGTGTTTACGTTGCAGAAGCGTACACAGGCATGGGCCTTGTGCAGGAGGCGTCATTATTTTGCATAAATGCTATTGTTGCTTCATCCATGTATGTGTTTTTAAAAAGTAGTAAGTAGGTCTACTAACTATGGTATCACATCATAAATGGAATAGCAAGTATTTTCGATATGCTTTGATTTAAGATAGCTATTCAGTGTTGAATGTTGCTGTTTTACAGATTTGCAACAAATCCCTGAGGGGGGAAACTTTGTACAAATTACACGTGACTTCTGCGGGACATTTAGAGGTACTGTAATTGTGTATACACCTATATGATATTATGTTTTAATAATTAAGTTAATTTAGCGTGCATTATTTTCAAAAACAAGTCTCGGACCCAATTTGTATTTGGTGTAGCGCTAATCACAATGAGTCTATTCTGAAATTTACTTGGATGATTCAGAATTTACATGACTCTCTAACCTTTAATTTTGTTTAGTTAATCACTTTTTTGGTGGCAGAAGTCACCCCTATTTCTTTGATTGGTTAACATGCCAATCCCACTCATTAGGCATCGAGGGATCAAGACAGCAGATCATAGGATCTATGATCAATTGTAAGCATTATTGTTATTATAGCTTAAGTAAAACAACCTTTACTTCCTATCCCTAACTGGGTATGCGACAGCTCCTCAGTGATACCTATCTTAGCCAAGTCTTCAGGAATAATTTTTATCCTTCTGTCTTGTCAACAAACTCTCTCCACCTATCACTGGAGCCATGAGTGTGCCATTGTTTTCGGAAGACCCTTCAGGCTGGTTCTTATCAGTAGTTCCTCACCTGGTACCTTGTCTTATCATGGCTCCACCGGAGGATATCAGCACTGGCTTTAGCCTCTTCACTCCTCTTTGGGCTGGACTTGACATTGTTTCTATTCAGAAAATGTGTCAGAGGATCTTGTCCATTCTTTGTCACACCAGAATCCACTGTTTGGTACCCAAGAAGCTGTCTTTCATCTCATGGGATAAAAGCTTTTTTTGAGATGGCTGCATCTCCTCACTTGATGACCCCCTATGATATCCTTTCATAATTCTAAAGACATTCTTGCCTCATGCACAGTTATTGTATGTCTGAAACTTTTTCAGACAGCTCAATTTAATCTTAAGTGGAACAATGAAATGTGTTGGTAATTTCTTTATTTTGCTGTGCCATGTATGGTTGCAAATCTTTTGCAACCTTAAACATTGTATGGCTGCAATTTGTATCAGTGTGCATATTTATCAATTCTCCCCCACTGAATACAGAACTATATCTCAACCTGTCTTCACACACAGGTTAAAAATAATGCAACACAATATTTTAAATAAGCATCTATACTACAAACTTTCTAAATCTAATCAATTTGATTTTTATCACCAAGTATAATGTTTGCTTTGGCCTTGTCTTGCCCTGTGTATAAGACAATGGGAGCTGTTGACTGGACTGGGGTTGCTGCTTATACAACCTTCTGCTTTCAGACTTTCTTGAAATAAATGGTGATATTGCCTTTTAGGTGCTCAGTTAAATGTCTGCTTCTCTTCGTTGTACTTTGACCGACAAGCTCTCTGATTCTTCTTCTGTTTGAGATCACCATGCACTCAGAAAATATAAATATAAATATAAATAAATACGTGCATTTTTTTACTGTTTCGGTGTCCTGGGCTCTGGTTTGTAACAGTACAGACCTTTATTCGTTTAATACACTCTGGAAGATCATCTTGCTTAAAAGCAATTTTACACAAAATTTTCTACTCCACTATCTTTTGTTGTTGTCACAATGAAAGACTCAACTGAGAAAATATATTTGACTATGGACAAACAATCTGTTTTAGTTTTCCAAATATAAAGAATACTCAGTGTATGGTTCTTGTCTTTGTGCTTTTATATTTTAAAGCACAAAAAGGAAATATCAAATTAAAATGTAAATTATGTTTTAAGATCAACATAGTACTTAATGAATTAATTTTGTTGATTCTTCTTTTATTCCTGGCAGAATGAGGAGGCCTTGATTGCTGAGGGTAAGTCATTTTAACATGTGGTAAGATACTGTATGTTTTCCATTTGGTTTTTGCCAAACTTGAGAATTAAGTTTAAACTGCGATGTTTGCACCTTGGATACTGTGAAGAAGCTGCCTTTTTAAAAGGTAGGGTAAGTAGACTATGCTTACTTTTTAAAAAAAAGTAACTACAATCAAAACTGAACCAGTACCAACTTGCCCATGTTTTTTCCCATTCTCAGTATTTGAACAGGTAGGGTGCTCAACTTTGTTCTGGTAAATGATTTCAATTTTGTAGTATATATTGTAAGTATAACTTGGTGTCAATCAGACTGCTACATGCTATCTGAGTATAATAATGAAGTATGGCATCACAAACACAGAAGGAAAAGTGCAAGAGCTTCACCTTGCTGTGTGAAAAAAGCTGTTCCTGTATGGAAATACATCATACACATCAATATCGTATGTCCATATTAGAGATGTGGCAAAGGGTTTGTGAGGGCTGCAAACCGTAATAAAATTATGGACAGTTTTTCATCAACATAAAAAGCACATGTAAGCTACATATTTTTTTAAAGTAGATGTGGCACTTAATATATATATATATATATATATATATATATATATATATATATATATTATTATTATTTTTTTGAGTAAAATAGTGAATGACTTTCAAAGAGTTTGACTTTGTCAAAGAAGCTTAATTGCTCATTGCACTGAGTTGCTACCATATATTGGACACATACAGATTTGAGGACTTTTGGCTTTCAGGTGACATGTAATGAGAAATAAGATGGTTCATATACTCTACCTTGTAGGAAGAATGTTTTTTTAACGAAGTGTTATCCTGTTGTCCAGTTCAGAGACTCGGGATTTGCAACCCTCATAATGAACTTCAGTGTATTGGTTTCTATGGGCTGCACTACACAATTTGTTTTCCCCACATTCCATAATTCCTGCTTTTATATCATTAGACAGAGACCCAATGAGTGAATCTGAGTTATCACAGTTATCACACAATCATTATTGTGTTGTGCAATTTCCTGTATGAGCTCGTCTGGACCCATGAAAAGGCAACAATGGCAAACTTCAATTCAATTCACCGTGGTGACGGCAGTCGCTTCTCTTTCAAAGGAAATGGACTTTGGTTCCTCATATGACCTCAAGTTGCCTGTGCCTAGTGGTGTAGAACACACAATATGGACAGATTGTGCATTTGGGTGGTTTTTGCTTACATCACAAGTACCTGGAAGGCAAGTTATTGGATTCTGCTTTATCACATAAGGTTTGTTCATATGCTGGGGAGGTTACTCCTGAGTCTCTTACCAAAACGATCTCACACAGATGTTGGGACAGTTCACTCAGGAGGAAAGTTTATAAGGGAGCTGCAGAGGAAGGATCAAATCACTAAAACAGTCTCAAATATTTAGCATTTTTAAGGGACCTGACTTTGGTGCCAGCTCTCCCCATTCTTCAGTGTACTATGGAAATTCTGAAGGACAGGCTTAAAAGGCCAATTTAACAAAGAATGGAATATATGGCTACTGGGGGTAGCCTCCAAACTGTTTTCAGAAAAAATGGGACCATTGCCATAGCAATTGACAATTCAAAATAAAGTAAAGGATAAGGAGACCTTTTTGGGGACATTCCAGTGTTGCAGTGTGGCGTACACAAACGCAACGCAATCAAAAATAAAAATGGACTTGTCTAGCAATGTAACTTGATATTTTAGAATATGCTTTTAGTGGACATAATGGTTTGGAAAAGAAAAAGACAAAATGCAGCATTGCATCTATAAGGTTAATATTTAAGGCTAGCAATTGCATACAAGATGTGGCTATGTTTATGTACAGCATATGGACAAGAATAAATGGCAGGTGAAGTGGAACCTCTTCACACAGTGAGGGTAGATCAGCCTGTCACCAGTGCAGACAAGACGTCCTCTCGGGATGACATTCATTGTCCGGCATAGATATGAGTTTAGCTAGTACCATTCTGTCCCCCACTCCAATCTACAGGACAGCGGAGCACAGGACTGAGCTGGACATTCTGATGACCTTTTTATGTCCAATTTATTTCTCTCCCTCTCCATGATGCTGCTGATCCAGCAGACCACACCATACACTATGGCTGATGCCACTGAGAAGGTCCTCAGTAGAGGCCTTTACTCCAAAAAATCTTCTCAGGAGGTAGAGCCTGCCTTGGCCCTTTCTTACAGTGCATGTGAGTCCATTTGTGACTTGTGAGTCCAGTTCAGTTTGTTGTTCAGGTGAACAATGACAGTGTACTCATTCTCCACTCTCTCATTGTCCTTTCCCTGGCTGTTCACTGGTGAGGGGACAGTAGAGTGGGGCCTGCAGAAGTCCACAAACATCTCTTTGGTCTTCCTGCGCTGATGAGGAGGTGGTTCTGCTGACACTAGTCCACCAAGTTCTGCATTAGTACTGTGTATTTGGTTGTTGCCGTTGTCTGTGATGAGGCTGATAAATCGTCTGAGAACTTCTGCAGGACATAACTATCGATGTTGTGTCTGAAGTCTGCAGTAATGAGGATGAAAAAGAAGAGCTCGATGTTTCCTTGAGCAGCCCCCATACAGAAGGTCAGTAGGTCAGACATGCAGTCCCAGGCTCTCACAAACTGGGGCCCGTTTGTGAGGTAGTCCAGTATCCTGCTGGTGCCTCAAGAGCATCGGCTGGATGGATTTGAAGGCACTAGAGAAATCAAAGAACAGAATTTTCACAGTGCTGCCAGGCCTCTCCAGGTGAGACAAAGCAGTGGTGCACAAGGAAAATGACCGTGTCCTCCACTTCAGTGCTAAGCCGGTGGGTGGTGTAGGATGAATAGAGGATTATCTTTAGTCTTCATATAGACAGTTTTCTTCATGAGTTGCTTCAAGTCTGTGTTAAGTATGGATGCACAGTTCTTAGTTGCCTCCTTTTTACAATGACAAGGTTATATTGATTTGATAGTAAATAGTATTGCTTTTACTTCATGTAGCAAAAGCAAGTCGAAAAATACAAAATAATTTCATCAGTACATTTTTCAAAACAGGAATGGGAATGTGTTGAATTCCACTCCTTTTCCCTAGCTCAATCTTCAGCTTTCTCTCACTGGACCATTTTCATCAGCACTTTCTGGTTTACAATTATGGAACCAGCACTTTTTGCCACACATCTAAATCTGAACAGTATGTGTTTCAAATTACGAATTAAGGTTAAAATAGATTATGGTACATTGTTCCCATAGGTAAATTTGTCCTCATTGTACTCATTCTTCAGTGCTTCTGTCAGAAGCAGGGGGTGCCAAAGTGTTACGCTTTAGCTTGGTTTGGTCAGCTTCCTTAGCTGAATGATTATACCTGTTGTTCATGTTGTATGCAACATCTGTTTTTTGCCATTAAAATGTCTTAAATTTCTTGTAAGTATATTATTTTTGACACACAATGCCCGTTTGAAAGCAAACGCGTTTTTAATATTGGTAACTGAAGTGTTCATTTTAATGGTCTTGCATTTCTAATTGTCTTGCATTTCTAATTGTCTAATTTTGACACGTAGGAAAGATCACCAGGCAACAAATTGTGCCAGTCTTTGAGGACATCATTCAGTATCTTGAATACTTGAAAATTGATGAGCCCATTATTGGTAAATATTTCTTCTTGGAAACTTGCAAAACTCAACACATTATTGTAAATGTTTGTTTTTTTTTGCCTTTCCTGCAGGTCTGGACTATTTAGTTGAAGTACCTGGTGATAATTCTGAATTTTCAGGCATCAGGTACAACTGTACACTCTGCAAGGTTCAAGCATATATCACAGAAGCTGTTCAGCATGTGATTGGACGTAAACACAGACAAAAATACCTGGTAATAATGGTTTATGTTTATTTGAGTTGATGCATAATAAAGATTTAACTTTAAGCATTATCGTTTATTTAGGAAAAAAATCGTCCTGACTTGGTCAATTGGGACCCTCAGAGACCCCAAACCATATCAGGGAAGTTGATAAGAGCCAAAGCAGAGATTGCTGAAAGACAAGAAGGAACAGGAAAACCAAAGGTTCAACAAAATTCTTTTAATGATTCTAGTATCTAGTGAAATATTGTTAACAATAAATATATTTATATATTTATATATTTTGTTACACCAGCCATCGTCTAACAAGACTAGACGTTCTTTTCCAAGATTTTCTGCTCAAGGTTGGATATTGTTGGATATTTCCCAGTTAAATTGTCCACATACCTTATTTCTTTAATTTAATTTTTGTTTTACATATCTTTTAATTCATAGGTGGACCACATAATGGGCAGGCTTCAAGTTACACACAAGACTTGGGAGCAACCACTCCAAAATTTGGGAGCTATCCTGAACGTCCAGGGAGGCAATGGGCTGATAAATCTGACATTGGGCAGGATAGATATAAAGATTCTTTAGTGGACAGAGCACCACTCCATGACAGAGAAATGTACACCCTATCTTACGCACAAGATGGGGATAGTTTAGACTTTCCCAGGGATTACACCAGAGATTATGATCACGAGAGTAGAGAAGACTTCTCTAATGTATTCGGGCTTCAAGATCAAGATAGGAGGCAGTATAGCCGCAGTCAAAGAGAAGAAGTTTATGCTGATGATTTTCGAGAGCCACACGTTCAAAAAGATGTTCTGAAAGAGTTTTATACTGAAGAACTCAGACGTGAAAAACAAGCCAAGACTAAGCAGTGGTCTCATAACGTTGATTCCCATCAGCATGAGCATATGAGGAGATCAGGAAGAGAAATTGGACCAGCAGCCAGCCAGAGCAGTTTTTCTACATCTTCAGATGGCAAAAGCCAGTGTGAAATCTATAAAATAATGCAAGATTATAGGCATAGCGCTGTTGCCTTAGAGCATCCAGAAGAAACATTGTCAAACCCTGGGCCAAGCAGAGCAAGCCCATCCAGGTCTGGAGACTTGAGCAGGAAAATGGCTGACATTCCCGATCCATTTATGCGCTTCCTCAAGGGTGGGTCCAGTTGTGAAGAGCCAGTTGTAAGAAAAAGAAAGAGTCGCTTCTCTGATGCTACAGAAGAGGAACTTAAAGCTGCTCAAAAGACGTGAATGTTTTTAAATAAAAAAAAAAAAAATGCACTCAATTATTTTATCAATATTGAACTCTTATTTTTACTTTTAAGGTTTAGTAATGAGTATGGACCAACAGATCCCAAGTTTCCATCACTGAGGCCTGAAATACGAGAACTAAAACCACAAAAGACTGATTCTCATAAGGTAAGCTATTTTTATTGTAAGTAAAAGTGATTAAAAACGTCTGTTTATCCACTGTATAGTTAACAGTAATAGAGTAAATCTGTAGTTTTACTTATAACTGTAAATGGGTACATTGGACCCACTTTTGTCTTTCAGAATTGTGTATTTGTCAAAGCCACCTTTTTTTCCCTTAGCTATAAGTATGAGCATAAATGGATATCAGCATTATGCTCTCCGATATCGTGTTATATTCAATATATTCATATGTAATTTAGGGCTATAAAACTGAAACCTACCAAAGGGAGCAGCTAGTGGAGCGTTCTGAAAGTACAGGGGACGTCTTTGAGATGCTGGTAAGATTTATTTTCATAAACCAAAAGTTCTGAATCAAGGAAGAGGAAACATGTTTTGGGTTTTTTTTGCCTGTAGAAAAACATTGAAATTGAAAATGAAGATGAGGCCAACTTCCTGAAGGATCGACTCTGCAGTGTCTTGAGAGAATTTAAGGCCAGAAAGGCTGAGAAGGCTTTGGTATGTGTTCATGACGTGCAAAATATGAAATAATAAATGCATATTTCTTGTACACTTATACATATATGCATAAACTGTGTTCTATTCCAGCAAACTGGCCAAAACAGAGCTGCCATTGTTAAAGAGTACAACAGCATGAGGCCAGTTCCAGAGGAACATATTGAAGACCTCTATGGCAGACCACCCAGAGAAAATCTGGATGTCAGAAGAGTGGAAGATTTTTATGATGACCCCAGACCAGAACGACATGATGAAATTAGTGAAGATTTCCAGGAGTACCAACATCCTGTACTTTCTGAGGCAAAATATTCCAACAGTAACCCACATAAAGGTAAAACATCAACAAAAACTGTTGTAAGAGCTACATCTTATGGGATCATTATTGGTTATGTTCACATGACATCACAACATTCTAGTCCAGGGGTGTCAAACATATGGCCCGGAGGCCGGATCCGGCCCTCCAAGACCTTTAATCTGGCCCTCAGATGATTTTCTACTTAAATATTTGAATTATATTTTCTATAAAAATATTGGTAATTTTCTGCACCGCTTAGCATAGCAGCGTCTCCAGTGCCTCTGTGTGTGGCCCCTCCCACCAGAGCAGCACAAATGAAGACTTGCCTCTTTCCAAACGCTCTTAAAGGACGATCGTTTTGACTGTTGACCGTGACACCCTCATCAGCAAAATGTCAAAAATGAGAAAAGTGGATGTTGAGTGCAGGATTTTCCAAGAAAAATTGATTTATTCCTATTTGCATACAAGTTAATGTTAAAACATTGTGTTGAAATTACATTTTTCTTAAAGTTTCAGGTTCATTATATTATAATATTTTGTAAAAGAAGAGTTCATCAGTTAAAAAAGATTTCTGTAATAGATTTGCGTTTCTCTGCACAAATATTTGAACTTATTGCTATTTTTGGGGTGTATATGCCATTTTTTTTTCTGGCCCCTTTGGGACCAAAGTAGGTTGGATACGGCCCCTGGACCAAAAAGAGTTTGACACCCCTGTTTCTAGTGTATAGTTAAAAACTGAAGAGGATAGATCAGAATACCATAATATCATTTACTGTTTTAACTTTCCTATTGCAGATTTGTTGACCTGGTTGTTTATATTTAATAGTAATTACTGGCCTTATCCACATGTCTCTCAAATGCAACAAATGTTTAGTCAAAGGGTACACTATTTAACTTTTCTGGTACAGGGTTCGTCACCAACTTGTCTCCACAATATGGCACCAGAAAAACATATTTGAGAAATGTCAAGCGTGCATTCCCTTCTAACCAATCAGCAGAAATTGTGTTGCCAGAGGGTTCCTGGAGCCAGTTATGGTGGTCCTCTTGAACCTTAGATTAGATTGCTTTGGATTGTGATAATATCTCCAAAACCTTCTTGCTCTGCCCTTATCAACCCCATGGAAAAAGGTCTATAAGGCCAATTCTTGTTTCCATATCATAAAAAGGTTCCATTTTGTTTCAGACATGCAGAGGTGGCCTAAAAATCAACCGCATGCACCTGGTTTTGACGAGCCAGCACATTTTCCCAGAAAGTACCAAGAGCCTTCAAGGTCTCGAGACTTCCAGTCGGCTGACCATTTCTCAGATTATCACTCACCCACATCTCGTCACCCTATGGACCATGGGCCAAGGATGAGTAGGCTGCCTCAGTATTCAAGGAATTTGGATAAAATAACTTCTACTCTCCTTGAACTTGTTGCAAGAAAATAAATATATAGATGTAAACTGTTCAGCTGTGTTTTTATGTGAGCTACAACTATAACAATTCATTTTTCTATAATGAATGGTGTGACATTTATTACTATTATTGTGGTACAATGAAATGTTTTTGTTGAAAAACACATAAAATATCAGTTCTTATACCTTATTTTAACACGTTTTTGGAAGTAAGATCTAAAAGTTTAAATCATTAAACTCTACATATTTTGTGATTTCAAACGATTTGCATGTAATCAGAATTTAGATTTTCCCCACGTAAAAAACGTCCCACCGTCTTATTTTTATTGTATGTTTATATGGGCTGTAATACATTTTCTTTTCCCACTAACCCTTCCGTTTAAATTATGCTTACTATTGTATTATATGAATTGTAAAATATTGAATTAAATGTATTTAAAAAATAAAAATTAAAAAAAATAAAAATCGGCGCAACTTACGTCATCACGTTCATACGTATTGCTTTTTCCGGTTCGAGTCGCAGCCATCTTGATTTTCCCTTGCTAGCTAAATAAAATAAATAATACGCTGAACCGGGCTTCACTTCGAACACCTTAAACAAAGTAAGTAATAAAGGACTTGATGTTTGACTGTAAAATGATGGTGAGAAATAAACTAGCTTACGTGGATGCATGTGCAATTATCTGCCTTCTTTTCATTTGGTTTTCTTGACCAATAGTCGATTGTTTTGGAAGATGAACAGAGGCGCCATTTCCCTCCCCGCTCTCAGCGGCGCTTATTGGTGGCCCGCTGAAGGGTTCATAGGCGGCCAGGAAACTGCTTCGTTATCTCCGCCATGTTGGCTCAACTCTTCTGAATGTGAAATTGAATGGTGGTTCCCATTGGGCCCCGAATGGCGCTAGTTGCAGAACGAACTTAGCCCTTAAAACCTTGATTGGTGGAATCAAGTCCGAGGTTTGATTGGTCTGAAGGACAGATCCAAACCTTGTCTTTATTGGTTAGACGGCTCCTTCCTAGCTCTGGAAAGCTTTACAAACTTTCATTTGAAAGAGAACGTTTGGTCTACCGGCGATAATTACGCCAGCTGTGGTTAAATTTTAGTGCAGTCGCTATTGTGCTTCTCCAACTATCCTTCGTGAGCTCCAGCTCCTGTCATGTGCGTTGTTCACGGATCTGCTGTACTGTGCCATGCTGTAGGCATGTATGTATGTGACACAAAGTGGAACAATTGCACGTCCTCTGCCAACATTCTGTTTGAAATGTACAAACGCACGTATCGCATAAATATCAAATGATTAAATGCAACACCAAAATGTGAATGTCTTTGTTCCGTATACCTGTATTTACCATCAGAAACGTTCTAGTCTGTGTTTGTCTGTTTAACTATTCGACTATTCAAAAGTATGGACGTAAGCCATGGCCTTTTTCGATTTACTCTGAAGAAGGCATGCTTTTCAGTATTTTCAATGCTGTGTTTTCAATTATAAGTTACTTATTTTAAGAAGTAGTTACAATTTGTAACCACTACTTGAAAAGTAGAATTTCTACAACAAAAGGACGTTGTTTTTTTTTATAATTAGGTGTTCAAAATTACCTGATTGTTGGAACTGTGTTCTTCAGTTTACTGCACATTTTTTGATCTAACATGGCTGTGTGTTTATCCAACTCAAAATCTGTGTTTATCTCTAAACAGTGATCACAGAGTGACCAACTGTGCAATGTCCTTGCCCAGTGTGTCTCTGAAATATTATGGGGCAACCAGAAGCATCAAATTGAAACAGTCGTCATACAGTTTTAATCTTTGTGCAGTACTACTACAATCATTAACTGGACAAGTGTCAACCCTCTGGTCCCCATGCTTCTCTCAAAAATAGAAAAGGGAACATTGAGCTTTGTTTCTCTTGAGTCTCCCTCCCATCCTGTAATGACTCTCCTCTCTGTCCTTCCCCATCCTTCCGGTCCCCCTCCCCCTCTAGGTTTTTCATTGATGGGGTAGGTTTTCTATTCCTTTGCCTATAAGCTTGATGTGGCATTCATCACAAGCCACAAACCTCTTTGAGTTACAGATGTAGTTTAACTACGGCATACTAATTTTGTTTAGGAATGTATGCAGCATAACATTTGAGATAATAAGAAACAACATATTTCCTGTTCATAGTGAAGGTTACACTGTATAGTTTGTTCTGTTCTCATTAAACCAGGGGCAGGTTAACAAGAAGGGCATTGTGTGACATTGCTGACGTTTTAATTGTGCAAGTTGCTGTGAGCGTCGTTTTTACAGACAAGACAACAAAGTCTTTGTTTACAGATTTCCACCTATCTTTAAGTCTTGTTTTCTACAAACAAATCAAGAATGAAACACACTCCCACATAGCTGCTCTTAAATCAGATGATCTTGTACTATGGTCTTGTTTGTAATGAACACTGCTGAAAAATTGAGTAATGAATGCCATTTTAGTTCTTTACACATTATGTGTATGGATGAATATCAAGTAGTAACAATACACGTAAAACAAATTGTATTTTGCTTAACAGAGTGACTTCACTGATTTAGTTTGTTTGTGGTGCGGGATGAATAAGAAGACAAGGACAAAACCTTGTATGTGTGGGACTGCGCACACGTATGAGACAGCGGTTATGCTTTTGTACTTTAAATCATGTGGATGCAACATGCGGCACCCATCCTGGCCCTTCCTGCAGCCAATGGCGTGCAGAGCCGAGTCCGTCGCCGAAGAGCTCTCGACTAATAGGAGCAGAGAGGAGGCGGGCCTTAGGAAGACATTTAGTTTGACATTGTAAATAAGCAGAGAGCAGTTGTCAGAGAGCAGCCCGGGAACCGCTCTCATCTGTCCGGCAGCAGTAGACACTAGCACCGCTGGAGGACAGACCATGCCGAGGCAAGCAGACGCACCAACTCCGTGACTACAAGAGCTTTTTACAACTTTAACTTGTCTTTTTCTCCACTTCTCTCTACTCGACGTTCCTCTTTTCTTTCCCCTGACCCCTATCTTGTAGCTCAAGGTAACTTAGAGCAGGAAGTTGGCTGTCAGTGAAAGAGGGTTGGACAGAAGAAAGGGGTGGATCCAAAATCTTCTATTGAGCTAATTGACACACGCGGCGACCAATGGCAAACAAGAGCTTTGTCGTGTCATTGGTCAGAAGTAAACGAGGCAGGAGCTAGGGTTAAGGCGGGGTTTGAGTATCGTGTAGCATGCTAGATTGATTACTGTTGAATGTTAAAGGGGAAGGAGACTGTAGTGAATTTTGTCTGGGAGTCGGGAGTGCCGCTATATCGTTGTCTGGTGATGTGTCGCTTTTTTAGTCCATTCCTAAACCCTCCAGTTTGTCCCGGCAAATGGGTCGACTTACAGATCCTGTCAAACACAGCCGTAGAAGAGCGGGGAAAGCGGTGTAAAAGTTGCCCAAAACAATGACAAGGAGAGGTCAGCTGTTGGACCGTCATTGGTGGAGGAGGCGTGAGACTCCGGAGGGTTTTGATCAGGAGTAAGATGTTTGTGGTCATTGAAGAAGACGAGGCACCGGAGCAAAGAGGGGAAAGCAGGGGGAGGGGGCTGCTCTTCACTTGTGTCCGGGTTGGGAGTTTTTTTAAGCCGTCCACTGGAGCCAGGGAGCCTTTTGTCTGTTGATAAGATCTGGAGACTGGAGGAATTGTCAAGAGTTTTTTTTCCTCTCCCTGCTCCTACTCTCTTGCTTGGCTGTATACAGGGAATGCGCTGCGCTTCAACAGGGCAAACTGCTCACCATGAAGGACACTGGGTAAGTCCGGACTGGCCGAACTGAAAATGGGAGCTAGTTAGGCAGTGAATGCAATAGTTAATTAATGTTTGTTAATCGTGATAAATAGTTAACCTTGTCCGTGGGCTCCGCAGTGATGCGAGTGTCTGTCCTCTACAGCCGTCCTCCCGAGCCCCCTCCCGCTCCTGATGTCCTGTCGCTCTGTCTTTGGAGAGAGTGGAGTTTATGTGCGCGCGTGCCCTTCACTTTCTCTCATTGCTGGAAAAAAAAACAACCTTCAGTTATATATTTCTTAGCCAGATTTCTTGACCAGTTTAAAGGTATACTCGATTTACATATTTTGTAGCCTGACTCTGATGATTTATTTATTTTTTTTGAGCTGTGTCTGTCCTAGGGGGCTGTGGTGCCTCCAGTCATTTTTGACCCTTTCCTCCATGTCCTTCAGAGCCAGACAGTGGCACCGACTCTCTTACATCCACGTTAAACTGCTGTATCTCTCACTACTTTGGTTAATAGTCGTAGAAGTCAGGGGTCCCCCGAGACTCTGGTGCAGCTGGTTGCTTTGACCCCAGGACCCCTCTCCCCCGCCCCGCCAGGGACAAACGCCCAGATGGGACAGACTGTCGGACTGTCAGCTCCAGTGGTAGAGGAGCCTAATGATTTGATCTGATCTCATCTGAAGGAATCTGCGTCAGGAGTGCCTCCTTTCTTTCTCTGCTCTAACTTCCTTCCAACTAGATTTGTTTGTCCTCCTGGGTACTCTAATTGAATGTTTCCATTGGTGCTTTGACAAAGCAAAGTCCCATCGGGGGGGTGAAACTGAGAGGCTAAAAATAAATTAAGTTGAAGGCTTGAAGCCCTTGCTTTCTAATCCCAGTGTACTGACAGAATACTATTTGAACGTAATTTGTGACCCACACTGTATTGTTGACTTAACCAGGAGAGAACAAAGTTACCGAAGTGCTTGGACATAGCTAAGTATTTGAGCTTATCGCTAAGGTGACCACTACCACTGTGTTTTCTGGCTCTTTTGCCCTTGCCCCTTCTCCCCCTGCGTTTGAACATGTGTACACTGTCACCAAAGGCAGTGTGAGCAGCCAGGGACTCTGCTGTGTTTTATGCAGGTAGCTTTAGCCCTGCCTACTGACGCTGGAGACGAGGCCTAGCATTGGATGAAGGTCATGGGAATGTGAGTATGAGAGCAAAGCATGTGGACCCAGGAAGTGGACCTCGCAGAGGGAACAAACTGATGGTGTGGACTTTGAGGTGCTGTTTTATTTATTGAGCATCTCAGAACGTCCACAGCCGCTGGGGTCAGTTAAGTGCTGCAGTGAAAGTTGAAAAACCTGTCCTCCATCTCTTCCCCCACCCCTCTCTGGTTTCCCTCTTACTGCTGTTGAATGACCTTGGGAGATCAGTGACTAGCACTTCCTGGAGTTTGCTTGAAGTAGAACCAAGGGCAAAGTTTGCTTGGCCATTCAGACCACTGGTATTGTCCAGCTGTGCAGTCGAGGTGCTTGTCAGTAGTAGGGCTCCATCTGTTCTTTCTAAAACAAATGAGTGAAAAAATATCCCGTTCACTTGTACCAGAGGTTAATCTGTAATGCTGCCTGAGAACTTCTTGTTTTTTGTTTAGTTGAAGTAGATCATTTACTCTGTGCGCTGTACACGCACGGTTTGCTTGTGTGTGAAATTTGTGATTGAGTTCAGCAAGGTCAACACGTCTAACGGCAGCTCTGTCAAAGGCAAATGCAACAATATTAATTTACTTTTCTTAAACCCAATGACTTTAACCCTTTAGCTAGCTCTACACTAAGTTATCCAGAAACTGCACTGTAATAGTATTAGTAATAGAATTTATATAATGTGCTCTTATTAAAGTAATTGAATTAGTATAGTATACTGCATGTCTTATCAATCATTAAATTTGATTTTTTGTAAATTTCCAGTTTTGCTTGACCAGTTTGAAATAAATTACACAAAAGTTTAAATAGATCATTTCTAAGTAATGTAACAAGAAAGGGAACAGCAATGACCAAGCCATTTTTTGGCTTAGTTATAGTGTGGTGTTTTCTTATCCCCGCCTCTGTGTGCAGGGCTATCAGTTGTATTTGGACAGGAATTGAAGGCTCATGTGAAGCGCTGTGATGTCAGAGTTGGAGAGCGTACCCACTCGACATGACGTTCTTCTACTCCAGCCAAAGCGAGAGAGGGTACAGAGCTATAGACTGGCAACAACAATAGTGCTGATTCAGCCTCTGCAACATTGAGTTCCTGTGAGAAGTTTGGTCTCAGCCTAAGTAATATGGAGGGACAGTATTGCGGAAAGAGGCACCATGAAAGTAACATTGCAGTGACAGGAAGAAGAAACTCTGTAGGAGGAAGACTGCATTGGACTGTATTGACAAAGCCCTCAGTCTCACACACACACACTCAGAGGAAACCCAACACCTACATCACATTGTGTTCATGACCTGATGAAGGACAACATGACTGCAGAGAAGAGGAGAGACGTACCTCCAACGCATAGTGAGGCTGTAGCTCTAATAATGTACTGGTACACAATCTGAACAACCACAGTGTCAGGGCTTAACTACAGCAAAGTCTGTATACAACACAGAGTAGAAGTGATGGACCAATCGCAAAAAGCCTAAATAAGCTGCCATGCAGTTTTCTACCAAAAACACTAACCTTTAAACTACACCAATATTTGTAAGCATACTAAATTGACCAATGTTTTATTCTCTCTCTCTCTCTCTCTCTCTCTCTCTCTCTCTCTCTCTCTCTCTCTATCTATCTCTCTCTCTATCTATCTATCTCTCTATATCTATATCTCTCTATCTATATATCTATATATATCTCTATCTATATATATTCTATATATATAGATATATATAGATATATATATATATCTATATCTATATCTATATATATCTATATACACATATATACAAAAATAAAATTTTGGAGATTTTGATTTTCTTCTTTGCCACAAACCATAGACTTTCTGTGTTTATTTGACTGAGACTGCACCCAGACCATAGAAGGCATTGCACAAATTCAAAACTGCTTCATGCACCACCTAATTTACTAGACAAACTTTAAACAATTGCAGGTTTTGCTTTGCACCTGTAGTAAAAAGGCAGACAGTTTGATAAGAAACATTGGTGATGCATAGGTCTTAATTTATCTACTGCAGCCCATTTTTTACTTTCATTTTAAATATATCATCTCTCACACTGCTTCCCCTTGCACTCTTGCTGCTGTGGTTTGTGCGAGGTGCTGTATGTTTATGCCTGAAGGTCACAGGGTCACAGAGAGAGAGGGCTGTGGTGAGTACATGTGATTATATTCAGTCTCTTTTTAAGATTTTGAGTCAAAGCAAGTTTTGAGAGGACAGAAGCAGAGAAATGTATTATGTTTCATTTTCAAATCAGTGAATCATTTGCTATTTTCTGTGCACGTCTGTTACGGTAGAATAGTTTCCATGATACTTTGAGCTCCTGGTACAGTGCAAATGTTTTGTGAATTGTCTAGTTTAGTTAAAACACATCTTAAAAAGCCACAAAAAGCAACATAATGTTAGAGTCACGATTTTAGTTGATGTCTGATATCTGAGCATTGTTTCTTCCTCGTGTTTGTCAGTACTGCTAGCTACTCAGAATTGGTGAAATACTGAATTTTAAAAACAGGTCCATGTTAAGCTGTTGACTTTGATTTGAAAGTTCCACAGTATGACAGGAAACTTGTCTAGAATATATTTTATTGTGGTTGTTGTTTGTTGATCAAAAATACTTGGAACATACATTCACACAGTGGGTTCACCTTTCCACAGATCTGACGTGTAATTTGGTGTCACCTGCTTATTTTCATGAAGATGGATGAGTGCAACGCCATATTGTGTAAACTTGTAGAAAAAGAAATTACATCTACATGGAGATGAGCAGGTGGCGCACCCTCCACCAGAAAAGTTATATAGTGCAGTTTTAAAGTAAAACTGCGTAATCTAAGGAAAACAGGAGAAACTGTGAAGGTTAGTCATTGGGATCACATGCCGTGGCTATGAGCCGACTGATTGATTCATATAAAGCCCCCCTTGCTGCCATTCTGTCCAATTGATTTAAGCTGCTGAAAGTGAACTGACAGAGCACATCCAGTTTCTGTATTGTTCAGTAACTCACAATACTGCAATGAAAGACTGTCAAGAATCAATGGACTCAACAACTGCATCCTTTTGAAATGATTTAACCAGTGTTAAATATTGACACATTAAGCAGTGCCCTGTGCATCTTTGGCCAAAGGTGGGGACGTTTTTGTTTATTCTGCACAACAGTTCAGAGTTTAGTGTGAAAATGGAATCATTCTGTGTTCATTTGTTTTATTTACATTTGTGGGGAAATTACACTATCTCTTTGTACAGATGCTTTGACAGAGAAAGGGAAGAATAGGACAACCCCAATGTCTTTACACTGCCCTCTGTGTTGTCCTCTCATTCTAATTTGACTATATAGCCATGTCTCCTACCTCCTCGGAGCAGCCTGTGGCACTATGTCTTAGTGCTAGATTAAACTCAACTGGACAAAGCAACACAGTCAGAGAAATAACTTTGAATACCCCTTCTTTCTTCTTCTTGCCAAATCTTTCTTTCTGCAGAGTCTAAGTAAAAGTGTGCAATCCAGACACTGTGAGCTATGCATGCTCAGACAGGCAGGCCAATATTCCCAGCAGATTCTTGGCATACCATAGTAACCTGCTGGATCCTCTTTTAAACCTACTTACCCCCATGGAGGAGCAAGCTCAAACGTATGCTTTAAATTTGACAGACAACATTTTCCTAAACGACTATTAGGGCACTTCTCTGCCAAGTGTGCTCTGAAAAGCTAACTACACTCTTGGACAGATACATTTTGATGAACAGGTTTCCCTTGTCCCGGAGAATGGGGTCAAAAGCAGGGCTAACCTCAACTGCAGCTGACTTGCACATGACCCTCTTGTATTTGTGGAACTACCACTGCCATGTTGTGTGTGCAGACTCAAGGCTTTGTCAGTGAGCAGCTTGGGCTCAGGCTTGTGTAGGAATGTGAAATTCCAGAGTTAAACCAAACTAATATAGCTGTTCCAAATGGAAGCTTTAAACAAATGTCAGTGAATCTGTACACTATGTATTTAAATCTAAACTAATCTTCCCTCTGCAGACTAAGAGAGGATGTCTTCAGATGGTTTTGGTGGGAGCAGCGATGCCCAGCAGACCCTGCAGTCCTTCTGGCCCCGTGTCATGGACGAGATCAGGAACCTAACGATGGTATGACTCTTAAAACCACCAGAATAAATTAAACTTATTTTTCAGTGACTTTGTCACATCTCCCACATGGGATTTTGTTTCTCACAGAAGGACTTTCGTGTGCAGGAGTTGCCTCTGGCTCGAATCAAAAAAATTATGAAGCTGGATGAAGATGTTAAGGTAAGAATAAATTTCAATTTTTTCAAACTATCTAGAAACTAGGCCAGATCCTTGGATCAGTATGAGTTCCAATAAGACTTTTATTTTGCCATAAAAATGTCCAGTCCTCACATTATCTGTTTGCCCACTCATCTCATAGAATTGTTAATCTCAACTATGTAACTGTTTACTTGAACATAAAATAATAATTGCTGTGTCACTTGGTTGTGAGAACATGGAACATGGAATATTTTTAACATTGTGAATACAATTCCCATGAACTGGCTCTGGTTTAAACATAGTCACTTTGATGTGTGGTGTTAAGAGCACTATCCCCTTAGTGAGTTAAGCAGGAGCTTAAAGTGGTAAAGAGATCAGCAGATCACCTGTGTGAGCCCTGACGCAGCAGCTTTCACAAAGTGCACACCTTTTTACTTTTGTAAGTGTAGTTTCTACAAGAAATGAGAGATTTTATAAATTAATGAGACAGTTTATATATAAATGTGTGGTGTACTTCTAGATACCTGTGTAACATTGTTGGTTAAATGTGAAATGGACAGTTGTTAACTGTCATTGTAATAATTTGTTCTCTTGTTTTGGACAGATGATCAGTGCTGAGGCCCCAGTGCTGTTTGCCAAAGCTGCTCAGATCTTCATCACAGAACTCACCCTCAGAGCATGGATCCACACCGAGGACAATAAGAGACGCACACTACAGGTCACTGTCACTAAACATGTCTATTCATATATAGGCTTATAAATAAACAAAGAAGGACTGTCTACAGCAGTATTGCGTAGACTTCCCGTACACTCTCATCTGTATGTTGTTTATTGACTTCCTAAATGGAGGCCTCATACCAGCATCCCCTTGAGGATGGTTCCACGTTTTGGTTTCTCTGTCCAGTGACTTTGAAAGCAAATCTAGGCAGGCTTGTGACCCACTTTCTGTCCAGTGGCACTTTTCCCTCTGCTGTTCACAAGTTGAATGAGCGGAAGAGGAAGTAGGCAACTTGAGCAATCTGATGGGAAACCTGGCAAACACTGACTAGTGGTCCCACCTGGAAGTCCCAGAGGGGGGACTTATGGAGTGGAACATGAAGCCTTTAAGTACAGTTTATCTATCCACATTCCTCTGAGATTAGCAACCCTCAGATGAATATATGTTATATATGTGCACATGTGTTTTTGAATACACTGAAAACATTGCATTGTTTAGAGGTGTTTGTTTCATCGTCCCAGCTTTAGTTTTGCATTTTACCTTGACTAATCATTAGCTTGTGTGATTAGCGTTGCATGCTGTGAATGACCAGAATTGCAGCTATTTGAATGTTTGTTTACAATGAGCCTTTTCTTCATAGTCAAATATGATGTCCATGTTTATACAGATCAGAAACAGAGTATGTGCCATTGTCAGACGGGCACGCCAATGGGGATCACCATAGCGACGCTCATCAATAGAACAAGTGTAGATGTGACCTGGTGTTACCAGATATTAATCAAGCTTCTATAAATAGGGCCAAGTGCAGGGAGGGCCACAATGGGGGGTCCTGACAGCCAATATCCTGTGGAAAATTCCACACACAACACAACGCTGAGGATATAGGAAGGGTATAGTGACACCAGGGTGGGCCATGTTTAGTGAATGTCTTGCCTTAGATTAGTTTTTTTAAATTGTGGTTTTTAATCCCACTGTTAAGGCCACTTTATTTTTTCACTGATTTTGAAAAAAGAATAGTTGTCTGTGACACATATTTATTTCTTCAATAATGATTTTTTCTTTTTTGCTTTTACAGAGGAATGACATTGCCATGGCGATAACAAAGTTTGACCAGTTTGACTTTCTCATCGACATTGTGCCCCGGGATGATCTGAAACCTCCCAAGCGACAGGTACAGACACCCCACTATAATCAGGCATATTTACTTGTGATTTAATTCAACATGAATGAATTTAAAGTGTTGATCAATGTCAGGACCTTTTCTATATTTGGCAATTCGGAGGCGCTGTAAACATCCTTGACTGGAAGCTTCGGGTTTGGTCAGCTATAGCTTTCAGTCGGATGTTTGCAGCTTCTTATTGCCTCTTACCAAACATTGACACTACAGCAACAATGCTCAAAAACTACCACAAAAATCTGTAGTAAATGGCATTTTTAGGATCATAGTTGACGGCGATACATATTTAGAAAACGAAATGTCATGTTTAGTGTTTACGTCGACTGTCTCCAGGCATGTAAACATCCTACACTCTCAGCTGTGTTGTCATGGAGCTGGGAGAGGGGTGTTTACGCTTCTGGTGATGGACACACGTCATCAGAGCTGCCCCATTGGTTTAAATATTTCAACATTTTGTCACACAAGTAAGTTACTCCTTATTAGCCCACACTGCATTTGGACCCTCATACATTTTTAATATCCTAAAGCCTTATCATCTTGATGCTTCTGGACATGAACAAAATTGACTGGTATGATTCCTGTAATTGATCTTGTGTCCAGATTGCATTACTCTGCTCCAGCCAGAGACCATGGGTTATTTATTAGGCCAGTTGTCCTCTACTCTTACACCAACAACAATAATTCATGGAGATGTATCTGACTGATTTTGTGTATTTCCACAGGACGATGTGCGCCAGTCAGTGGCTCCAGCCGAGCCGGTGCAGTACTACTTTACCCTGGCTCAACAGCCCGGTGGGGTGCAGGTGCAGGGTGCGCAGCAGGGGCAGCAGCCAGGGGCACAGGCGGCCACCACCATTCAGCCGGGCCAGATCATCATCGCACAGCCACAACAAGGCCAGGTAGCTTAGCATTGACTCTGAATGCCACCCTAGAAGAGGAGAATAATGCAGAGATCTAGATTGTAGCTCAAACATTTTGCTGGATAATTCAATATTAGTGGAGGCTGCTCTCCCACCAGCAAGAATATCAGCCCCTCCAAACACTCCCAGAGTCACACCCTTCATCAGAATCCATATCCTGGGAGTTGGGACCAAATCACCACTCTCATACGAAGCACTCATAAATGTTTTAAAATTTCTGTTTAGCCTCAGGTCCTGTGTAGGTGTGGCAAATATAAATTATAATGAAAAGGGAACTTCTTTGAAGTCGTGTGTGTCATTTGATTCCATTTAAGTG